CTAAAACGGTGTATATTTGCGAACCTAGGTCTACTTTGTGTGGCTTAATTGTGATTTTGTATTTCTTGTTTTGAAAATGACAACGCGCAATTTTGATTTGGGAATTTTTAATGGAAAAGGTGATTATTCTATTTGGCAATAAAAAATGAGAGGTATTTTGGTTCAACAAAAAGTTTCAAAAGCCATGATGACAGTTTTCTCGCTAGTTTTTCAAAAGAATAAAAAGAAGAGGCTGATGAGCTTGCTTATACCTCTATTATTTTACACTTGGCTGACGCAGTTTTGAGAAAAGTGGGCAAACTGAAAACCACTAAAGAGTTTTGGCAAAAATTGGAAGAACTGTATTTGCTCAAATCTACTCCAAACAAACTTTACTTACTTGAGCGTTTTTTTTTGTTTCAAAATGGATCCTTCAAAGGATCTTGATGACAATCTGGATATTTTTAACAAATTTGTTCACGATATTGTTAACTCTGGAGAGTCAATGTCTGAAACCTACAAGGCTATTATTTTGCTGAATGCTATACCTGATACTTATCGTGAAGTTAAAAATGCTATTAAGTATGGTAGGGACACCTTAACCCCTGAGATTGTCATAAATTCCCTTAAGAGTAAGGATATGGAGATTAAGGCTAAAAAAGAAGATAAGAGAAATGGTGAGTTGCATATGATGAGTAGAATGAAGTTTAAGCAGATGAGTTTGGGTAGAGCTCAAGATAGTGGTGATTTGAGTTGTGACTCGAGTGATGATGGTGGTAAGAAGAAGAGCAAGAGTTGGGACAAGTCCGATGGTAGACGGTGTTACAGCTGTGGTAAGTTTGGACATTTCATTAGGGATTGTCCTAACAAGAAGGATAAGATGAGAAGCGAGACGAATCTGGTTTTAGGGTCGAGTGATGTCCCTAGTGAACCCTATTGAGTGTTACCCTAGTTATTGCATTTGCATCCGTGTGTAATCCTTTCTGCATGTGTGTGATTAATCAATTTGGTTGCATGATTATATGTTGCTTTTCAATGTGTTTGACATGTGCATTGTCATGGATTGGAGTGATTTTATTACTGTGTAATTTGTTCGCATGTATAGTGGGTTTTAGGATGCATTAGCAGTGTGTGAGTACGTCTTTTGGTAAGGTGGAGTATAGATGCCTAGGGGTACATTGTAGTTTGTATCGTGGGATGTGGAGTGTGGCATTTAGATCACGGTGGAGATGTGATCAAATGTTTTGAATCCTTTATCTGTAAGAGACCCTGATCAGGTGGAGTGCGAGTGCAACACTTTTATCACTTCAGTTAGGTGGAGACCCATTATCCATTTAGGTTGGAGGAATGATGTGGTGACAAAGGATTATCCCGATAACTTAGGATCCATAGAGGCTTACCAGTTAGACATGAGTTGGGTAATTAGTCTAGTGAGAATTGTGGGCGATGAGGTGAGATCTGTGTTCTCGAGGAGTGAGCAACACGGAATAGGATAGGATAAGTGTGGTGAGATCTTCGTGAGGTCATTTATGTATTTGTTGCGTATGTGTTGGCCTGTTGATTGACTTGGTGTTAACCCGTTGTTCTATGTGAACGTGTTTGATAAGATCTGTGTTATCCTATATGATATCTCCATCGCATGTTTATTTGCTTTTGATTGATTGCTGTGATTATCTATTTCTTCTTGGGTGTTCTTGACCTTAGCCCTGGTGAGTACGTGGAGCAGGTATGGTATGTGTTTCGGGTTCGAAACACGAGGTAAGGTTTGTGATACCAATTTTATTGGTTACCTTGATTGTGCGAGTATAAACTGTGTTTTGTTGCTTGCAGATTTATTGGGATCAATGTGGAGATTTGTTGCGTTTTTTATACCCAATAAATCCGGGCTATGATGTTAAACCGTTTTANATTATATTAGTGTTACTCATGGCCCAACCCAAATGACTTGGATAGTTTTAAGGTGTTAGCCCACTTATCCCTTTTGTTATTGGGCCTGTTGTTTGATCTAAAGCCTAAACCTATTGCTAACCTATTTATGCTGCCCATTACTGTTGTTTTCTCGTGTGTGGAATTAGCCCTTGGTTTTAAGAAAAGAAAAGGTCCCGTGTCTTGCTTTGTGCTTCCCTGCCTTCTTGCTTTCTTGTCTACTTCCTCCTTTAGCCTGTGTGGCTGATCTTTGAAGCTATATTAAACCTCACACCCAGCCCTTTGTGGGCTGCCATCGAGAGCAACCAGTGGTTGGGAAGGTGTTGTTGGTTTGTGGATTCGATTGGTTGTTTGTGGTATTCGATTGATTGGTTAGCTGAGCCCCGGAAATCACAACATTGGAGCCTCAAATTCAACAAAGTTTCCATTTATAGTCCATCATGGATGTTTCAAGTGCAGATAGCCTATAAATGCATTTCTTTATTGTCCCTAGAATTTTGCTTACCTGTGTTTTTTTATTCCTCCAAAGGTACGTTTGGAGAAGGAAAGATGTCACTAGAAAACTATGGGTGTGTTTGACACCCATTTTGATGAAAAATAAATTCTGGAATAGTGATTGATGTGAAGAATGTGTGGTTGAAAAGTAATAAGAATTTTTTGGTTTATGTGTAATATTATTTTATTGATTGGATGTGTGGTTGAAATGAAGAAAGAGAAAAAAATGAGAAAGAGAATGAGAAGAGAATGGATGTCAAACGGGGGCTATATCTTCTCTTTGAAGACAATGGTGGTCCAAACATTCTCGCAAAAGCTGTTGGAATTGGCAAAGGAAAGCAAGATCTCACAGGAATGGCTTTGAAACTCAAATTCCAATCAAGTTATCCCAATTCCCCCAGAGATGCCAACTGGCAAAGCGTGCTCAGCTCTTACACTCAGTGAAATAGTCAAGTTTTTAACTGGAGACTACCAGCTATGCAAACCTCGGTCGAATGATCTATTCTGGGAAGCTATTTGGCCTCATTTGCTGACAAGAGGTTGGCATTCGCAGGAGCCTAGCAATCATGTTTATGCTGCTGTTTCCATGTATTCTTTGGTTTTTCTCATTCTCGGCATCAAGAAATTTTCAAGAAGGAAATTAGTGCAAGGCGAGCCCTTTTGATTGTGTGGCTGATGTCTTGAGCCAATTTGCCAGATAACCCAGGTTGATTGAGCTTGAAACTGAAGATGAAGGGAACAAGAAAAACAAAGAGTACAATTTTTAACCAGTGAAAGTAAGTTGGTGAAAGATGATCATGATCTGCCTACAAAGCAACGCCAATTTATCTTCAACATCGCACCCCTATAATGCAGATGCCATGACATTTACGGTTGTAGATACAAGTTCTGTGGATCGAAAACCTTATAAAGTAAGAGAACTGAGGAGCCTACCATTAGAAATCTCTAACATGGTAACTTCTCAAAACTGTCCTGAAAATAGTGACAAGGATACTCATGATGAGGCTACCGAAGAATTTAATATTGTTGATACCATGTTAGTTGATGACAGTGAGACAAATAATACCAATCTTGGTACAAGTAAATCCAATGTGGAAATGCTTCCTGGCAGGAAAGGTCGTGATACTACATGGCATGGATGTGATATTTCTGTGAGTAACTTGAAGAACGAAAAGGATTTAAGCAAGGACAAGCACCAAGAAATTTTCTAACATCCGAGTTGAGCCGGAAACTGAAATGGGAAAATGTGGACAATTTAGCTCCTACTACCAAACGTGGTGGGAGACTAACTGCTTGTAGTTGTAACAAGACGAGCAATGGTGTCACTCATTCAACAGTGGTTCCCTATTTGGAAAATGAAAAGACCAGTTTCTGGTCAGATATTCTTAAATTGTCATACACCAGTTCATCAAAAGGTAGCCCTACTAGGAGCGTTGAATGTACAGAACCCCATCAACTGAACCTTCAGACTCATTCACTAATTGATCTAAACTTGCCTAAAGTTTTCCCAGACCTTGAGAATGGTGTCTTAACAACAGAAATAATTAAAGAAAAAGTTGACCGAACAATCAAGCGGATGATCATTGTCCATAGAAATTCTCTACAATCAAGGTTGAGCAGCTTAGCATGAATCTGCGGAGGCAAAGTACAAGAAACCGACCTATTATTATAGCAAGATCACTGGAAGCTCTGGTAAATGGATTTTTAACTACGAATCATGAGAGAACCTGACATCAAGACCTCCATGGTATGCCAGTGACGTTTTGGCTCTTAATGAGCTCAGGTCGAGAAGGTGAAAATGGCAGCGACAGCAACATGTGCAACAAATTTCAGGTTTTAACAGCCGAAAATGGGAACATGGTTTCAGGCCTCTGAGGTGCTGATAAGCTCACAACTTCAGCCATGGGAAGTCAGAAATCCACTTCAGCAGTTTGGGTTGTTATATCACAATTCTTGTATGAAAGCATTTATAGTGTGTCTCAACCACTCTAAGCTTGTCTCTGAAGAATAGGAACCTTGAATGAGTAAGAGGCTTTGTCAACAAGTCTGTTGTCTGGTTTGAAGATGGTATAGTGGATTTCCAATTCCTACCTCAGAACTTTGTTTCTTACAAAGTGAACATCCAATTCTATGTGCTTGGTGCGATCATGATACACCAAATTTGAAGCCAATGCACTTGCACTCAAATTATCACAGCAATTTGTGGGAATTGACTTCTGTGGTATACTCAGTTCTCTAAGTAGTGATTGTATCCAAGTAATTTTTGAGGCACTATGAGCTAATGCTCTATACTTAACTTCTGTACTTGATCTGGCAACTACATGTTGCCTTTTGGAATACCAAGATACCATATTATCTCCAAGATACACACAATAGCCTGCTGTAGACCTTGTGTCATCTGGGCATGATGCCCAGTCAGAATCCACAAATGCTGTTATTTCTAGGCTGTCACTTTTTTGAATAACTAAGCCACAATTCAGAGTACCCTTTAAGTATCTAAATAATCTCTTAAGTATCTTCCAGTGAGCATCTGTGGGAGCTTGAAGAAATTGACTCATTTTGTTCACAGCATAGATAATGTCAAGTCTTGTATGTGCTAGGTATTGAAGGCCACCAACAGCACTTCTGTAAAGAGTTGGATCTTTCATGACTTGTCTTCACCCTTAGAGATCATCTTCCCAATTGCCATAGGTGTTAAGCTCGATTTTAGGTTCTCATAGCCAAACTTCTTAAGCAGACCAATTACATATTTTTTCCTGAGTTAAGTACAGCCTTGTCGCACTTCTACATACCTTAATACCCAAGAATTGGCTAAGACTTCCCATATTCTTAAGAGCAAAAAATGCATTCAGTTTATCAATGAACGCTTGTAGCTATTCACCATTATTTTCAGCTTCCTCCACCTAATGATGAGAGAATTGTTCAATTAAATTGACAATTATTTTTCCAGCGTTATAAAATATTACATATTTGGAATAGGGTTCAAACTACACATTTATTCTTAACATTTTTTATTTTACGTCTCAGTGCATTGTGATGGATCAATTATTACATATACTGCACTATCAAAATAATTAGATAAAAAATTAGGTTCTGACCATAAGCCAAATATAATATGGAGAACTATGATGTTGACATTATGGATAATAGCATTCACTAAACAGAAATGAGAAGTACTTTGTTCACAATTAAATTAATTGGAGGCGTTTAACAAGTAATAGTGCTAAACCATTTATCGACATCTCAACTAACACTTATTAAAATGTTGAGATTTATGCCCATTAATATTAACAAGTCACAGTCTTTATTATATAATTTGAAAATTATGCTCATAATTTAAAATTTGAGCAGTAATTTCACAAACTTCTGGTTGCGAATACCATGCAATTATCTAATATATGTATCCAATCTTTTTTTTTTTTTGATAACCGTGGATGTTCGGGCTAGCTTGCGCGCACCTCGACTAATTCCACGGGGCCCTGAAGTTTACGGTCAGGTACTCACCCCAGTGGCCCTGAGAGGACTCGAATTGGTGACCATTGGGGAGCAAACACAAGGCCTGACCAATTGAGCAACCACTCAGGGTTAAATACAAATAATATTTAGATGGTCAACATGGAAGATGATGGGGTCCCATATATCACCTTAATTAACTTTCAAAAATATAGGGGATTTAGTCCCTATTTTTGCTAGTAATGGTTAACGATCAATTGTCGATAAAGAGAAAAAATAATATATAGGAATTCATTGAATTGAAGAATATTATGGTTCTTCGTTGAGTATCCATTTGAATTTTTAATTCCGCATCATTATTGATTCAGTGATGACCCAATTGATCATGCCAAATAATATGATCAAATTGAACTTCTGGTTCAATATAAGATATAATTCAATTATTTAATTTTGAAAAATATAATTAAACATTATATAATCATATATTTTTCAAGTAGTCAAATTAATCAATGTACTCATGATATTATTTATATGTTTTCTTTCAGGGATAAACATAAATTCAAATGATACATTGTTCGAAGCATGTGTTATTTTGAGAGCATGTTATATTCTATTATTGCTCTTTCAGAAACTATATGTTAATGTTCTTCTAGAATATTGGAAATTATAATTCCTGATCTTTAGGAGTAATCAAATTTTATTATAATAAATTATACAAGAATTTACTCTTTAGGAGTAAAAATATAATTTACCTTAGATCGTATTTAATTATACTCTTCGGGAGTAAATAATATTCTTCTAAAACATTAATTAAAATGTTTGTGCTACTTCTGGAGCAACAAATAATGCAATTATAATATTCATTTTTAACAATATTACAATATTCTTCTGAAATATTGATTAAGATAATTTCATTTCAAAAGTAATATACAATGTTCTTCTGGAATATTGATGAAAATTATTTCATTTCAAGGATAATATATAATATTCTTCTGAAGTATTACTGTAAATAGTTTGGTTCATCATTGATTGACCAAATAGATGCATAAACAGTGTCATCACAAAACAATCATGAATCATAGTACAATAAAATAATCATGATTGATTAGTATATGGTAAAATAATCATTATACATACAGTAAAATAAACACTAGAACGGTTATGCATAAATCATCTATCTATGTGTTTGATTAATTCCATAAACCAATACAGAAACATTAATTGGATGCGTGAATTGATAAAAAAAAAAAAAAATCATATGTCTCCAAATTAATTTTGGTAAATGTGATAGATGATTATGCTCATAAAATTCATTACCTTCCAATTAATTTTTAGTTTAGAGACTCGTGTTGATATCGTGTTATGCACTAAAGAAAAAGAGAGAATTAAAGAGAGAAGTCAATAAACTTGTGTGTTTTATTAAGAACCAAAGTCTCATATTTATAGAAAAGAATTAAGGCTACAAGGGATACAATATGATCATAATGACTAAAGCTGCAACGGTACAAAAGTCATTCATAACTACTAGTGTATTTACAACAAGAAATATAATTCAATTATTTAATTTTGAAAAATATGATTAAACATTATATAATCATATATTATTCAAGTAGTCAAAATATTCAATGTACTCATGATATTATTTATATGTTTTCCTTCAGGAATAAATATGAATTCAAATGATACATTGTTTGAAACATGTGCTATTTTGAGCGCATGTTGTATTCTATTATTGCTCTTTCAGAAGCAATATGTTAATGTTCTTCTAGAATATTGGAAATTATAATTCCTGATCTTTAGGAGTAATCAAATTTTATTATAATAAATTATACAAGGATTTACTCTTCAGGAGTAAAAATATAATTTACCTTATAACGTATTTAATTATGCTCTTCGGAAGCAAATAATATTCTTCTAAAATATTAATTAAAACGTTTGTGCTACTTTTGGAGCAACAAATAATGCAATTATAATATTCATTTTTAACAATATTACAATATTCTTCTGGAATATTAATTAAGATAATTTCCTTTCAAAAGTAATATATAATATTCTTCTGGAATATTGATGAAAATTATTTCATTTCAAGGATAATATATAATATTCTTTGAAATATTATTGTAAATAGTTTGGTTCATCATTGAATTTGCATAAAATTCACGCAAACAACACATACAAATAGGATATGGATATAGATATGATATACATACAAAACAATCATGATTCATAGTAAAATAAAATAATCATGATTGATTAGTATATGGTAAAATAATCATTATACATACAGTAAAATAAACACTAGAACGGCTATGCATGCAGAAACATTAATTGGATGCATGAATTGAGAAAAAAAAAATCACATGTCTCCAAATTAATTTTGGTAAATGCGGTAGATGATTATGCTCATAAAATTCATTACCTTCCAACCAATTCACTTTGATTTTTAGAGACTCGTGCTGATATCGTGTTATGAACTAAAGAAAAAGAGAAATTAATGAGAGAAGTCAATAAACTTGTATGTTTTATTAAGAACCAAATCTCATATTTATAGGAAATAATTAAGGCTACAAGGAATACAATATGATCATAATGACTAAGGCTGCAAGGGTATAAAAGACATTCATGACTACTAGTGTATTTACAACAAGAAATACTTTTATTTGGAAAAAGAAAAAGAAAAAAAAAATTGACAGTAAAGATGACAGATCATCTATCATTGTTGAAGCAAAGAAATCTAACAATTAGAATGAACTGTTTGATTGAATCCAATTCTAAACTTGCAATTATTGCTGTCCATCCAGGAAAAACACCATTAGATCAATTTTTGCCCTAAAGTCACACAGGATTTGTAGCATTTTGCACAATGATTTAAAGGTAAACCAAATGTCAGCCAAAAAATACTAATACCAATATTAGGAAGGAAGCGTTCATTCAATTTATGAATGATGAAACTTTTTCAGTTGAATAGATAACTTTTTTCAAAAATTACTGAGAGCTAGATTTCATATGCTCTCGCCACTAATTAATTTGTAATTTTCCATTATTGAGCTAATTAACCATTTTGGCACATCATATATACAGTTTAAGATGGCAACATTCTAATTGTGGCGAAAACTATCCTGTTCTATCTAATACTCCGTACCAATCACGTCCCGAAATGATTGTATTTTCAGCAATTCGTCAAAATTTAATCTCTGCACAGAAAAGCCACAAGAGCTTTTGAATAGAAGTTTTTACCAATTGGAGCAACGACTCCACATCCTTGTTTAATTTGAATTGTTACATGATTTCTAGCACGACATAGTATAAAACACGAGGATAAAGCTAAATCGTCCAGTGCAAAGAAAACATAAGCGATAACTTAAAAATAATGGCACGTAAGAGCTGTATTACACATCTGATAAATATACATATGTATACCACTTTTACGTTGTCCCTATAACATGCTTACACAGGACTTCGTTTCAGGGGAAACCAAATATTAGATTGTGTACCTATAATTTGGTAGTTCTTAAGCCAATCTTCACCCTTTTCATAATAATCCATCTTACTAAACGTTTGCTGAGGTAATTGCATTGCAGCTGCATAAGCAGCAGCTCCATGCCATTCATCGAAAATCTGATCCGAGGCTTTGATAATCCTTCTAGGTGCACGAGCGTGTGCCACTTGGACTGATCGTCCGAATTCCAGCTTGCCCATGTCCGGAAAGAAATAGCCATCTCGTCCAACCCTAACTGCTCAACCCTGATCCAATTGGGATGTTGCAGAATTTCAGGACAGCGAAATCTTTCCACGCCAAGTATGATCTGGAAATCTTCCTTGGTCAGAGGATGAAAATGCAGTGCCTTTGCAGTAGAAGACCCTGATTCTGCTTTGAAAATAAATGTTGAATAGTTTTCCTAGAGTAATTCACACGTAAGAGTAAATCAGAAAAGGATTATGACTTTGGTGAAAATATTGCTGAATGATGAAATGGATTGCAGAATAAATTCTAGGTTTTGGATTCGGGGATGAAATTAGAGCATATGTTTTGTGTAATAAATGGGGAAATGTGCTACATTTAAAGGTTGCGGGAATTGAAGTGGAGTGATTGTCGGTGAACACAGAAAAAGATTGACGCGTTTAGTAATTTGTAGAAAATCAATTTAAATTTTTATCAAAGGCTCGATATGTTCTCAATTTTCATAAATGGGGTATGGCCTTGAATACAAGACCTTTTTCTTGCTCTGCTATTAGATTGTACTGTCTCATGGCTAAAGCTAATGAAGAAGGGGCACATTTATTTATTTAGTTTATTGTTCAACAGTTTCTTATGATATAATTAATTTGATCTTTTTGTTGCACACTTTGATTATTTGTAGAATGTAATGTCAATCCTGGCTAGATTATGTATTCGGACTTGATAGACTCCTTGTACTCGAATAATGCTATTAATTCAGGATTTTAAACTCAATTTGTGATCTCCATAAATTACGTGACATACACGTGGTGGAGAGAGGTATCACATTGGCCGACTCGAAATCGGTTGATTATGTAATTGAATTGGATTGGATTTATCGAATCAACTTGTCAATTAATTTCACAGATATTGGTGGCGAAAATTTTGATCATTATTTATGAAACTATCTTGTGCTCGTTCAACGTGAATCTATGCCACTATCAGCAAACACTTTTCAAGCTAAAAACCATCAAATCGTGTGTGAACTCAAGCTAGTATCAACAAGCATTCATAATGCGAAGTCTTATGCTCAACATCAAGCATGAACAGCGAGCACACAAAGTGTGCAAATGCAAAACTGCCAATCGAGCAAATATACTAACTTCACTAGCTATGTCATATCAAAAATCATTATTGAAACACATGTAAACAACAATGTAAAACTTGTTAAAACATGATTTTATATGAATGAAGAACATGTGGATTGACAAATAAAACGTGACGAGTTAACGAGTTTTATTAGAAGTATACTAATAAAAAATTGTCGTACAGTTGAAAGAAAGGACTTAAAAATAGGCAAAATTGGGAATAAAGAATGATGTTCTCAAAGGGATTGTAACCCAATGTTGTAATCCAACATTGTACATGTAGCATTGTTCAGTTCTGATTAGGTTTGGGAAATTTATTTCGGGGTCAACAAATTACCGTTGTCGTACGTTAACAACGGAGAAAACAAGAGAGAGAAAACAAGCCAAAAATTCTCTGAAAAAAGGGAAAATGTGATAGAAAAGTGGTGGATCTAGATCTGAAAAAAGTATAAATATGAAAAACATGAATTATCCGGCACAAGAAATGGAAGAAACACAGCAAAAAAAAAAAGTGACTGGAAGAACATGTTTAGGGCTCGAAAAAGTATATCTAAAAAAGTGCGTAGCGGCTGAAATAAAAAAAGATGAAAGCTGGGGGATCCGGTACAAAAGATGGGAAAAACCAGAAGCAAATCTGAGCTATTCAACACATAAGAGAAATTAGAGGTGACCGGAGGAAAACGTTGGACGGAGAGCCACCGGGATCCAGTCCAGGAAGGAATTTATAAAGAAGAAAAGGCAAAAGGAAAATCAGGGTCTACCACCGATTTTTGGTCACTCGAACCAAGTTGCAATAGAGCCTAAATCAATTGGATCCCGATTGTCGAGACTATCAAAGCTCTCAACAATGACTGTCGAGTCTACCACCGAAAGCCACTACCCCGACGACCGCCTTCTAGTTGCGACGGGGAATATTATCACCGGGATCCAATTTATCACTCCTAGAGAAACTCCAGATTGACTTTGCCTCTCGGATGTTCAATGAACTGCCGAGTAAAAGTTTTATTATCCTCGAGGTGTTTGTCCTCCAATAGCAAGTGTCGAAGCTTCGGCTGCACATCACAACCTCCAGCCACTGCCGTCAAGGTCACTGTCGCCTCCGACGACACTGTCGAGACATCCTGCAGTCTCCGGCCAGCTGCAAAAATGATATTACAACTGCCTGGTTTTTATGGTCCAGAGCATTTACAGTTTTTTAAGAGAACTCTTAGTAGTAAAAGTGCAATCCAATTGCTCGATGAAATGCTAGAACCAGATTCTCTCTCTCCAAGGACCGGTTGACCCTATGCAATACATGGTGACCTCTGCTAGTGAGCATCGAGGCGGACACTGAACGTCACAGCCCCCTACCACAGCCGTTGAGGCGGCGATTTCATCAACTATCATGTACCAGCAGATTTTGACAAAAATGGAGCTTCCTCTGGGCTCTGGGGAAGGGTTGTCTGGACACAAAGAATAATCGCTTTCTGAAATTGTTGGCTGTTGCGAGGCCTTTTGAAAGATAACATGTAGAAAAGTTCAGAAAAGCAGGGCATGCCAAATGCTCGATAAAATGCCTAATCCAAGTCTTCAAATTGTACTCTACTCCACAGCCTCTGGCGACAGCTGTCGAAGCACAAGGAGTGGCAATTAACACCGGGACCTAATCATTGGCCATTGTTTTTGCTTTGGACATGTCGGATTAGGGTTTACCTTGCTTTGGTTTGAGTTTGGGTTGGCTTTGTATTTACCAGTGGTATAATTTATTCAAGGATCATTGCCGCACACGACAAAATGGCTGGTCCACACTTTTCCTCTTCAAAGCCTCAAAGAATTGCTCTTGGCAACACCTATTGAGGTAACTTTGGCAGCCAATCTCCAGCTGCATCCGTTGAGTAACCCACAGTTGCCCTCCCTTGTGATTCTGTGGATCCCAGATTGCAATGCTGTTGAGGCACTTGCAGCCAGCCATTGTGAATTGAAAAATGGATTGGGAGCCTTTGAAGGAGTTGAACTTGATTTTGATAAAGAAAAGAAGTTGCTGGAATGCTTTCTATTCAAATGAAAGATTATGAATATCCTACAAAATCGAAAAAAACACTTGCACGCCTTTGAAGGAATAACACTTGATAGAATCAATGTCTTCAAGTTAATGAAGCCATCTCCATCTAACTCTTCAATATCTTGGCGTCTTCAATATGTAGATGGTAAGTTCTCTTTATCCACGATTTAATTTTGGGTTGCAAAAGCATACTTGCCTCAATACCGTATGAAAGACTCAATCTCCTTGTGAAACGATGATCTTGAATTCTGCGTAGTGGTGAATTGTAGTTCTGATGATTTGAAATTTTTCCAGACTCTCGAGGCACAGTGCATGTAATATTTGCATCAAAATCTGAGTATTGTGCGTGGAAATTGGAAAAGTACGAAGAGAAGTCAATGAACTTAGGGTGTGTTTGATTGTAAGGGTGAAAAATAGGTGGAAAGAAAATGATTTCCAGGGAAAGTAATTGTCTAGAAATTATTTTGCAGGGAATTGTTAATTAAGTGTGTTTGATTGGTATAATTTTCCACCCGGAAAAATTTTGAAATTTTGGATTTTTTGTTCACGTTTGGCTTTATTTTACATGAAAATTATCCATTAAAATGGAATTTTTTTTTACAATTGGTTATGAAATTTGTTAACATTGCCAAAAAGTTAAAAAAAAAAATTTTGCTCGAAAACTATTTTTTCATCAAAGTTTGGTGTTTGTTTGGCTTCGTTTTATATGGAAATTGTCCATTAAAGTGAATATTTTTTTTTTTATATAATTGGTTATGAAATTTGTTAACATTGCCAAAAAGTTTTAAAAAAAAAAAAATTAATAATTTTTTTGGTAGAACATGGAAAATGCTTTTCTTGGCCAAATTTATCCTATCAAACACCTACTTTGCATGGAAATTGAAAATTTTTTCCTAGTTCTAGGGAAAATAATGGCTATCAAACATGGCCTTAGATCTTCAATTTTGTACCTTTGGTCTTCACCTATTGGAATGTAATCTCCTAAGTACAGCTCTTCCAGTTTCTTCATACCTGATAAAACACTGGGTATAAATGACAGGGTAATTCCCAAAACCTCAAATCAAGTGACTTTAGGTTTCTAAGATTCGCCAATTCAATGGGAAATAATCACTGAAATATGAATGATAGAAAGAGAGAATTTTCAACTTCTTTAGACTCCCAATCATTGACAATTCTTGTATTTTACAGTCAGTCAAGCACAAAGTTCAAAGATCGATCAACACTTCGATTGACGATGGAATCTGAATGTTCATCAATTTCAGTTCCAAAACTCTTGAGTTCCTTTTGTAGTCCTTCGTGAGATAGGCCATGGTTTCTGATAGGATCATATTAGACAGTCGAGAATTACAAGAGAATACCCCTGTGTTTCTATCTTTCCAGCAGAACATAGAGTAACAGGGAGCTGTTCATGAATGCCTTCCATGTGTGGTTAAAATTGAATTTTGGGGAAAATGTGTTCTAAAGAATGGCCAAGTATGGTGATGATGGACGTCGATCAGAAAGGAGAATCTAGCAGTTGACATGCATTCGTGTACCATAAATTTCAGTGCTTAGATTTTTCATTCAAAACTTCTTGGATGGAGGAATGAAGTGGCTGATGTCCATATCTTCAAGAAGGTATAAAACTTGGTGACCTGGTCTTTTATCTTACCTTCTACTTTAAAGATTATTTAAAGATACTGCATTTATTTAAGAGTATCCATGGATGTCATTTTTTTCTGTTAGAAGGAAAAATACTTCGAAGGTGAACCAATTTCGATAATAAAGAGTCTGGAATTCTTGACAGTATTGAACTAGAATCTATTTTTTTTTTCTCAATGTCTTAATTTAAGGTCAAGCTATTTTTGACCGCTACCATATAGCTTTCATTTCTATTTGATGGTACAACATTGACACTCCTATCCATGCTTCAGAAATTTATGGGGTTTCTAGAGATTCCTCCATATCAAAATCCAAACTTTCAAACCCTGGTGGAGGTATTGATAAAACACATATTTTAACTATAACAAATTTTTGTGAAGGGTGTGAATTATCGGGGTTCGGTGGACATGAGGCGGGGAGGTGGTGGGAGTTCGTCTCGATGAAATAGTTGTTTTTCTTTTTCCTTTTTTTTTTCCTTCCAATTTCTTCTGTTATACTTATTTTCTTTACGAATGTGTTGTTTGGCATATGCTCATTTGAGAATAGTCTGTGAATTGGGCGACATTTGATAGTATGTTCAACTTAAAGAACAATTTTACGATGTGATTATGTATTTGTTAAGTTTCAAAGAAAAGAGCCCCAAAAGTGCCAAAAACGACGAGGGTGACCTACATATAGATGTTCGTTTAAAAATGGTAAATTGAGTTTCAAGTTAATAAAAGACAAGCAAGGAATGATAAAACAACTTCTTATTTATTTAGAAATTATGTTTGCGTTCACTTCACTCGTAGAACGGTAGGTGACTTTGGGATGCATGAGTAATTTACTTGTTCTATTCTCTAATCTTCACTTCGTCGTTATAGTTGGGGTAAAACACTCTATAAAACCCAATAGAAACATTATGGAAGATGAAAAACAACCCAAAATGTCGAGGCTAGTAATAAAAGTTCAGAANAACTCTTGAGTTCCTTTTGTAGTCCTTCGTGAGATAGGCCATGGTTTCTGATAGGATCATATTAGACAGTCGAGAATTACAAGAGAATACCCCTGTGTTTCTATCTTTCCAGCAGAACATAGAGTAACAGGGAGCTGTTCATGAATGCCTTCCATGTGTGGTTAAAATTGAATTTTGGGGAAAATGTGTTCTAAAGAATGGCCAAGTATGGTGATGATGGACGTCGATCAGAAAGGAGAATCTAGCAGTTGACATGCATTCGTGTACCATAAATTTCAGTGCTTAGATTTTTCATTCAAAACTTCTTGGATGGAGGAATGAAGTGGCTGATGTCCATATCTTCAAGAAGGTATAAAACTTGGTGACCTGGTCTTTTATCTTACCTTCTACTTTAAAGATTATTTAAAGATACTGCATTTATTTAAGAGTATCCATGGATGTCATTTTTTTCTGTTAGAAGGAAAAATACTTCGAAGGTGAACCAATTTCGATAATAAAGAGTCTGGAATTCTTGACAGTATTGAACTAGAATCTATTTTTTTTTTCTCAATGTCTTAATTTAAGGTCAAGCTATTTTTGACCGCTACCATATAGCTTTCATTTCTATTTGATGGTACAACATTGACACTCCTATCCATGCTTCAGAAATTTATGGGGTTTCTAGAGATTCCTCCATATCAAAATCCAAACTTTCAAACCCTGGTGGAGGTATTGATAAAACACATATTTTAACTATAACAAATTTTTGTGAAGGGTGTGAATTATCGGGGTTCGGTGGACATGAGGCGGGGAGGTGGTGGGAGTTCGTCTCGATGAAATAGTTGTTTTTCTTTTTCCTTTTTTTTTTCCTTCCAATTTCTTCTGTTATAGTTATTTTCTTTACGAATGTGTTGTTTGGCATATGCTCATTTGAGAATAGTCTGTGAATTGGGCGACACTTGATAGTATGTTCAACTTAAAGAACAATTTTACGATGTGATTATGTATTTGTTAAGTTTCAAAGAAAAGAGCCCCAAAAGTGCCAAAAACGACGAGGGTGACCTACATATAGATGTTCGTTTAAAAATGGTAAATTGAGTTTCAAGTTAATAAAAGACAAGCAAGGAATGATAAAACAACTTCTTATTTATTTAGAAATTATGTTTGCGTTCACTTCACTCGTAGAACGGTAGGTGACTTTGGGATGCATGAGTAATTTACTTGTTCTATTCTCTAATCTTCACTTCGTCGTTATAGTTGGGGTAAAACACTCTATAAAACCCAATAGAAACATTATGGAAGATGAAAAACAACCCAAAATGTCGAGGCTAGTAATAAAAGTTCAGAAACAAAGACTAACGAGAGTACAAGTCAACTACCTAGAAAAAAGTTCAAAACACCTTAGCGAATATGTTAAAAAAAAAAAATAATAATAAAATAAGGAGTCTATGGCTTGAATGGATTGATAACAATGGAATAGTAAGCCTACAGATTGAACAAAGATCAGCAGAGCATGTTCAAAAATAAAGATTCATGCTGTCAAGTTGATAATTTATCTTACATCTCTCTCTCTCTCTCTCTCAACATAAGGATTCTCGCTACGGCTAAGCTCAAGCTTGTAATTTTCTTACATCTCCCCCCTCCCAAAGCCCAATCACAATATATGTGTTCCTAACACCCCATCCCACCCCCCCTCAACCCAACCCAAACCAACCCACCCACCTACTGACCCACATTGGGTCTAGGTCGAAGTCCTAAATTTGGATGGTGTATTAATTAAATAAAAGGATGATACAAGCATTGACCTTGAATTTGATGTTGCTTTTAAAAGTTTACCTTCTTTCGAAATAATTCTTTTTTCTCAACATAAAATTGGAATTTCAAATTCTAATAGTTTAACTTTTGAACTAAAAAAGTCAGATAAAAATTAAAATCTCAAATCACAGATTTTCACAAAATCCATCTTATTTTCATTCAATTGCTACAAGATCAACAATTTCATAAGCCTAGTCTTCAGCTTTCCAGAAACATACATTCTACTTCTTTTAGTCTGCAACAAAAAATTCCATCAAGAATTCAAAATAGGGCCAAAAATATCCTATATTTAAAAAGTAAAAAAATTCAAAAGCAACAATGAAATCTAGAGAACACAAATGTACATTGAATAATTAAAAAAAAAGAAAAAACCATTATTGGATATTGGGACAACCTTCAAGAAAGTATTTAATGCAAGAAAATTCCATAAATTTTCTGTACATAAAACAGTCATTTTTTACTTTTAATTTTTTCGAGACCCGAAGCCACTGCCTAAGTAGCCTGGGCCAGAAATGAGTGTGAATGTGTACATGGAAATGAATTTGAAGAAAAAAATAAATTTTAAAAAATAGGGCCAAACAAGGAAGTAATATGCTCAACAATTTGAGTATTAAATTAAACATGTATGAGCGCCGGTCAAGCTTAGTATTTTCAATAATTAGAGTTTTTTTTAAAAAAAACATTTTAATCTATTAAAATGCTCTTTGAAAAATTAGTATTTTTACTCACACTTTGTAGTGAAAGTAGTATTTCCATATTCCAATACTGAATCTCACATAATGAACACCCATCAAAGTTTGAATTTCAAGTAAATAGGTCTAAATAATTTTTCATTATGTCATGCATATATAAAATAGTCACTCCATTTTAATATGTGATTTTGAAATCCTTGAAAAAAGGAAGAAACAGAATATCGTTACTCCACATACACGATAACTTTTGCTCATTCGCTCTCTTTAGACTACTCATTATCGGGGCCCATTTTATTATAAAGAGGTATAAGGAACACATCCATCAGTTTTCTCACTTAGATGAGATTGATGTTAAATCATAGAGTTTGTTGAAAAAAATAAAATAAAGATAGAAACAAAAGAGACGTTTGCGTTGTAGTGTACAAAAAATTTTACTCTTTAAGTACAAAGATGATTAAGATTCATTTTAAAAAAGGGACGAGAACTAATTGAGGGCAGGGGCAGGGGACGTGCTAAACATTCCAATAATATTTTATGGCTACTGTACGAGGAGATATATTAATACATTGAAGATAGTCAATTATTGAAGATAAAAAAAATAGCCAAAGTTTGAATTTAACTCAATGAGTAAGAATAATTATTACATGAGTTCTAATAATTTAATCAGTGATTAAATGAGTCAATATGTAGAATTCAAATAGATAATCTATAGATAAGAAAGGATTTCATCAGAATTTATACCCAGAAAATAAGAAACTTCGAGCAATTATGTGGAGTTTTATTTGTTACAAACTTGTTCCTCCACTGGCGAGCCGTCTGAGAAATGAAGAATAATAATAAATAAATAAATAATGTAGAGTAGAAATTATAAAATAGTAATCGAGATCACATACCTGACTCATCCAACAAATCTGAAATATCAAAATATTCGTAACGTTCTCTTGTATGTTTACTAAGCTTTGGTGCACTTGGTGGCCGTGGACTCAATTTTTTCATCTCAGGGCACTGTTCAATGGTCAAGTCCTCTAATGAAGGGAACGCAAGTTCATAGTTCTGAGAGCAAAACATTTGAATACTCCAAAGATTCTTGAGATGTAGACGTTTCATATTAGGGAACACAATTATGGTTTTCATTCCTTCAACTATTTTAATCTCTGAAGTGCCTTCTTCTTCTTCTTTTCCAATAATCTCTTCAATTGATCCACATTTTGAAACCTCTAGAATGATCAGAGCCACAAGAGAATTGGCCATTGAAGGTGAGAATAAGTATATTAAGCTCTCACAACGTTCAACAGTAAGATTCGTCAAATTTTGAAAGACACGAATTCCTTTTGGAACCATCCTTGTAATGTGCACCAATTTTGGTAGTGAGCTCAGCCACAATGATGTTAATCGACCGAGCATATTAATTTCTGCATCATAAGTGACCTTTATACCCTCAAAGTCAAACAATACTTCAAGTGCTTTACATAACTCCACGTCAAGATCTCCAAGATTTTGCAGTGACCGAATTGAATCAAATTCTGCAATGGTCAGCAATTTAGCACAACTCAGCACCCGCATGTCTGTTAGTTTATGCAGAGATGTTATTGGCATTTCCTTGCCTAGTAGCTTTACAATACAATCCAAGCCATGAACATACAATGACTCCATGTTAGGAAAGTTGACCTGCGAAGTTCAATTGAATTAGTTATGAATTGCGGAAAGCTACGGCATTCTATAGAAACTGTTCAATTGTATTAAAGATACATTAATTGTGCTGTTGACTAAATAGAAATAAAGCTGAATTTCTCCTTTCATTATTACCCAATTTAATCTTTTTATTTTAAAGTTTATATGGTTAATGATTGGAAAATCACCGAGATTTCCTATTCTCTCACTTCTTAATTAAGACCTCAGTAATTTATTTTAACTATATTTCATGAGACCCACAACTTAATATATGCCCATGTTTCAATAACACATTTCATCAGTTTTGCTCAAAATATGCCCATGTTTGGTACAACTAAAATCTACTAAAATTTTGATTTTGAATTTAATCTCTACCAAACATCGGCATATATTTTTCATCTAAACCAAACAACGGCTTTGGTTTTGTTAAAAGGCTCACTTTGATTAAAAATAATTATAATCATAAAATTCATTGATTTGCAGTAAATGACCATTCTAATATTTTTGCTCTACTGTTTATGATTTGTTCATATGGAACACATTTTTGAGTATATCTGATTTTCAAAATTTGCCTTATTCTTCAAATATGATACAGGCAAACTAAACACACTTTATAACAAATAAGGACTCTTGGATGCACATAAAAGGAAAGTTGAATACCATACCTGATTGAACAATGTTTCACGAAAAACACCGCTATTTGATTGAGATGTGAAGCTCTTAAAGCTACTCAAAGATCCCAGATTGACACATTCCAGTTTTGGAAACTCGAGCACTTTGCAAGTTTTGGTAACTTCATTTTCTCGTGCGTCCGTTGAAACAACTTCCTCTAACATCCGACATGAATATATTTCTAGTTTTTGGAGATTTACCAAGTTGTTTGCAACTGACTCTGAAAACAAGCTTCTAATTGCATCACAATCAAACATCTCAATGCTCACAAGGTTACAGAACAATTGAGGTTTGATGACACCCCTTGGAAGATTTCCATTGCATATCTCTGTTAACTTGGGTAATTCTTCCAAATCGAGAGACTCCAATTTACCGAAGGTGCCATTTTGAATAGAGTCGGTGGTATCAATAAGATACTTGAAATCACCACTTGATAGAATCAGGGTCTTCAAGTTAATGAAACCATTTTCATCTAACTCACTCAATATCTTGGTGTCTTCACCTTCTATTGGAATGCTACCTCCCAAGTACATCTCTTCCAGTTTCTTCATATCCGACAAAACACCAGGTCGAAGTGGACAGGACGACTCCTCAAACCTCAAATCAAGTGACCTTATGTTGCTAAGATTCGCTAACTCAATGGAAAAATAATCATCGGAAGAAGAATCATAGAAAGAGAGAATTTCCAACTTCTTTAGACTCCAAATCATTGATAATTGAGAATGTATTTTACAGTCAATCACGCACAGAGTTCGAAGACCCGTCAACAATTCGATTGATGATGGAATTTGAATGTACATCCCTTTCAATTCAAGAACTCTGAGTTCTTTCATATCTTTGAAAAATTCTTCGGAAATGTTACATTCTCCCAACTCGCGACATATCACCCGTAACAACTTAACGTTCCGATATTTCAACCCGCTTGGAAGCTGATCCAGCTTATCAAATGTAATTGAGATGGCAATGCACGATTCATGAGCATCATGTTCTGGCCACTCTTTCAAACCAGCATGTTTCACCAGATATCCACATTTTTCTTTAATTGCCATATGTAAGCAAAAATCTCTGATAACATCATGCAATTTCACCTCGTCTTCCTCCATACCTCGTTGCAATAAATTACAACTTTTCAGATTATCTGCAATTGTCTTTGCTCGGTCTCGAGTTTCGCATAGTGTCTCGGTTTCTTTAAACAACTCTAGCCCCCTTGCATATCTGACCAAATTTTCAATTGGAATACTTTCATCTTCAGCGAATAGAGAACAGAGTAAAAGCAAGTCCCGCTCTTCATTACTTATCAAATAGTCGTAGCTCAATCTTATAATTTTGTACACGATATCGTCCATTCCTTCAAGATTGGTAGCAATAGACCTCTTTAGCTGTCGAAGTGCATCTTTCCATTCATATACGGCCTTTTTGCCTTTTAGTGCACTGCCAACAACCTCTAATGCAAGAGGTAGACGTCCACATTCATTTTCAACTTCTTTGGCTAAGCTTACGAGTTCGACATCAGTTTCATCATCAGAAATCCCTGCCTTATCCTTGAAAAGTTGCCATCCTTCTTTTTCATCCAAAACTTTGATTTCGAATTTCCTTTGGGCTTCCATTTTACTACACGTTTCTTCAATTCGCGTTGTAAACATAATTTTCAACCCTTTGCGATCATGTGGAGATGGAATTCCTATAGTTCCCCAATCAATTTCTTTCCACACATCGTCTAATACTACAAGAATGCTCTTACCATCTTTGCCTTCAAGTCTTTGATGAAGTCGTCTGACTCTCACTTCATTTGTCTTTTCTTCAATTCTTAGACCAAGCATTTCCGCAAGTTGGTCCTGAATTTTGTTTATGTCTGGATCGTTAGATACAACTGCAAATGCAACCTCCTCAAATAATTTCTCATCTTTGACTTCATTGACTATTTCCTTTGCCATTGTTGTCTTACCAACTCCAGGCATGCCACAGATCTCAATTATGCCGATATCTTTGTCCTTTAGAGCTTCCTTGATTTTCTTCTTAGTTGATAACCTTGTTTCGAAACCCTTATGGGAAGTTAGGTTCAACAGTTGCACCGGCGATCGAGGATCACTCACCCTCTCAAATGTACCTTCAAGTTTGAGCTTATCAGCCTCAATAGTATTCTTCGTGGCTCTCCTGCTTTGAACGTAACGAGACTTCAAATTTGGACATCTATTGAATAGACACCGCATTTCAGACCTCATTTCAGAACTTTCAACCTCCCTCCGCATTTCAGAACTTTCAGCCTCCCTCAAAAATTTATCGACATTGTCCAACCATGCCGAAACTTCTTTCCTGATGATTTCAGCCTTTCTTTCGGCAGCATCAACCTGTAGTTTCACGTCATTTCTCTTATTTTCAAGCTCTTGAACTTTAATCCGCAAATTCTGAATGTTACTGTTGTAGAAGAACAAGTACTTCATTTGGCGCAAAACTGGATCGACTGTGTATTCTGCAAGCTTCCCAACAATGGAAAATGCTATGCCCTCTGCCATTATCGAATTCTTTTCCTTTTTGTCTTACCTTTTACTTTGGATGAGTTTCCTTGGTTACTAGTGATGATTATCTCTACAGAGTTATTGAGAAAATTACAATGATAGAACATCGATAATTGTAAAATCTTAGCATTCTCTACAGTAAATTAAATGAGAAAACAGGAACAAAGGAAGTTGCATCTATTCGTTATCATTGCACAATCCATTGTTTTGCATTCGAAATATCAAATCACAAATTGGTAGCCCATAAAACAAAATAAATTCTTTATAGATTTTCATTTGAATTTAACATACTTTTATTGGAAATAATAAAAATTTATACGAAACGTCTATATANTTTATAGATTTTCATTTGACTTTAACATACTTTTATTGGAAAGAATAAAAATTTATACGAAACGTCTATATAAATTATTGCAAATATTTTATTTTATTGAAATTATTTATTTTAAAAGTACAATTTGTTACTATTTGAAATCAATACTTGCATGATAAAATGATTCAGAAAACATATAATACGTTTTAAAAATATTAGTAATCTCAATTCGAAAAATAAATAAGAAATATAAGAAAGGCATCAATACTCGTGGATAAAAGAAAAAATAAGTTTCTCACTACGCTACAAAAAGAAAAGGAAACAAAAAACAGACCATGGATAAAATTTAAAAACATATAGTACAAAAAATTAATATTTATCATGACAAACTAGCAGAAAGTTATTTTTTGAAAGTTATTAAGCCAACAATAAACCAATATAAGAGAATTTAATTGCAAATCAATCTATTTTAATAAAATCTCATAAGAATTTAAGTGACAAATTGATCTTTTTCAAAGAAAATTGAGAGAGACAATGAAAAAGAATAGAGAGAGGAAAAAAAAAAGAAATTGTAAGATTTTTTAATTGTATTTTCTATGTAAAAGTTAGTAAGTTGAGAATTTTGTAAGTCATTATAAGTTATTAATATTTTGAATACCCCGTGAGTTTTAAGGACTTTAAAGTTTTAATTTAATACTCCATCATTTTTCAAGATTTTAAAAGTCTATGAAAAACGACATTGAATACACTTAGATATTTTAAATATGTAAAAGTATTTAAAAGTCTCAATCTTCTTATTTTCTTTATAATTTTGTTTAGCTATGAGTTCTTGGTGCATTTTTGCACTGATCGGGTCACTATCCAGGATCAATATATACTTCGTTCAATAAGAATGACAAAAGGACGGTACGAGAATTAAAAGATTCGGTATGGATAGAGCAATTCGAGGCACAAACTATGTTTTCATCCCCATCCCATTTACTATTTTGGTCAGGGTAATACGGGTTGAGTAGAACAACATTTTATAATCCGTACCGTTCAAAGGGAAGATTATTGAAAAAAATGAGAACAAAGTTTCAAATCCATTAAGAGCATGTTTGAGCCCCATTAAAATGTTAAGAATGCATTTTGGAATAATAGATTAATGAAGAATGTATAATTAAAAAATAAGAAAAGTTTTTAAGTTTGCGTGTAATATTATTTTATTAAAAAAATGTGTGATTGGAAAAAATATATATAATTTGAAAAAAATAAAAATCAAACAAGGACTAAATATGTAGTAATGATAAGTTTATAAGTGACAGGGACATAAACTCAAAAGTGACTTCAACCCTAAAAGATAAAGAATAAATAATTCTTGATACAGTCATCTTCCATGGTTATTATTCAAAAACCTGCTTTTGTGATGAAAGTAGGCTAAAAATCAGTAAACTGAAAGTGGATAATTAAAAAGCAAATTTAAACAGATACAAATATATAATTTTTTGTAAATTAAAATGTATATATATGTAAGTATGGGTGAGAAACATTCGGTTTCCCCTTTCATCCCTATAGTTTTAGTTTTTGGTCGACAATGCCCTTATTCATTCTTCATGATTCACGTTAATTCATGCATTAAATTTTTTGTGGTTTACTTTTTTTTATGTTTATTATTCTAGCAATAATTAACTTTTAGACTCATTTCCTTTAAAAACATTAATTCAAGTAATAAATTAAACTTTAAGAACTGAAAGTTCACATTATAAATGTATATAACTTTTCAGGGAAATGTGTTTTTTAATAATGATTTTTTTTTTAAAGAATGTGTAGTTAAAAAATAGAAAATAAATTAGATTTACGTGTAAAATTATTTTATGGGAGAATTTGTGATTGAAAATGAGTTTTTAAAAAATAGGCCCCAAACAGATAAGTTATTATTCTAACTAGAGTCAAATTTTAACTTCATACTCTATTAAAAAAAACACTAAGGGTGCTTTTGATTGCAATGGTGAAAAAATGGTGGAAAGAAAATATTTTATAGGAAAAAGATTTGCCTAGAAAATATTTTGTATGGAAAATGATTTCAAGTGTGTTTGATTTGTATAATTTTCCACCCGAAAATTTTTTAAATTTTATATTCGTTTGACTTTATTTTACATGAAAATTGTCCATTAAAGTGATATTTTTTTTTTCCACAATTGGTTATAAAACTTTTACCCATTGCCAAAAAGTAAAAAAAAAATTGTTTCCTAAAAAATCATTTTTTTAATCAAAGTTTAGTGTTCGTTTGAGATTCGTTTGTATCAAAATTGTCCATGAAAGTACAATTTTTTTTTTTACACTTTGTTATGAAATTTGTTTCTATTACTATAAAAAAAAAATCAAAAAATCAAAAATGACGGCTGGGTGGAAAACCAATTCTCACATTTCCACAATTTAGAAGAAAAAGGCGCGTGGAGGCAGTGATTCAGAAAATAATTTCCAGCCACTTTTTGCCAATCAAGCATGCATTTTGTTGGAAAATTGAATTTTTTTTCCATTTTCCATGGAAAATAGAAGTAATCAAACACAGCCTAAGACAATTTAAGAGATATTCAACATTTATCATATTTTTGTATCGTTGATTAGAAATGACATCACTTGATTTGTTGATAAATTAATAAATTATTTTTTATTGATATATTAATACCTATTTAAAGTAATAATTTTTCTATATTTTAATATTATTATTTTATAGAAATTTTAGTGTAATATTGATTTTGACATTTATTTCCATATTCATTTCCTCCAATCCATGCTACTTTCACCCTTGTCCCATCCCCATCATTTTTTTCTCCAACCGTCCTATGTTGCTTAGTTGTCCCATCTTAAATTTCTATTGACAACTTTTTAAATCATTTTTCTTGTTTATATGNTTCTTTTCTTCCTGTTAGTTCTACAAGATCAAAAGCTAAGGAGTAAAGTTGCATCTGATTTGACAGAAAGCAAACAAATAATGTAAACTAGAAACTTTAAAATAATCTTTAAGATTTCAAGAGATATGAATTGCCAGCACAATAATTCACCATCATGAAACCAAGTCTGTACTATTGAAGCTGTTTCTTTCTTTTTTCTCTTATATTCGGGCATCCAAGAAAAAGGAATTATCAACTGTTGGAATATGTTACAATGTAGACTCCGTTTGACCAGAATGATGGGGAACTGCTGACTGGGTTGTCCATTGATCATTGACTGTTGAAATTGATTTGAGGCAAATCGTGTTTCCAATATTCAGTTTGCTGGCTAAAAAGCGTGCTTGCAATTCACGTTTTTGTTAGTGGGCTAATTGCATGAGATGTTGCCAAGTGTCACCTCATGTACCGTTGGATTGACTGATCTTTTGGTGACTTCCGCGAGACACTGACTGATTGTTGGATTGTGGGTTTATTACTTGCAAAGTTTGGCTTTTGTTCATTCCCTCTCTACCAAAGGGTGCTTGGAGATGTTGACATCCCTCAATTGTCTAAGAGAAGTTGAATTGAATCGCATTGTGGAGACAGTTTACTAGAAATTTAGGTTATTAAGAGACTGTAACTTCAAAAAGCTTAACCTAATAGATCATCATTTAGTTATTTTTATTCGGTCTTAGAGACATTTGACATGACTTTTGATTTTGATTTTGATTTTGATTTTGATTTTGATTTTGATTCATGTAGAAGAGTTTTTGGAGGAAATTTTTTTTTTTTATTTGATTAAAAGTTTTCTTGAAATTATTTCAAAATTGATTTTAGAGGAAGTTACATTGAACCAGTTTTCTTTAAAAACTCTTCTAATTAGAAGAAACACTTTCATAAAATTATTCATATGAGGTCAAAAATTGTTTTTTTCAGAATGCTCATTTTGACTTTTCAAAAGACATGCCAAACGAGCCCTTAATTACGCCCTCACATGCAAGCGAAATTTATCTTTTCATCAAAGGCATGACATATTCTTACTTTTCATAAATTGAATACAAGACTTTCCCTTGCTCCAATACTATGTTGTACCATCTCATAGCGAAAGCTGATCTCCAGTTTATTTTGATAGGCATCTTTGGTAAAGAAGTATAACAACCATTTGCCAAAACTGAGGAATAATACACCGAAATCGGGTAGATACGAGGAAAGGCTTGCTC